TGACAGCATTATGAAAAGTAGCGATTACACAGAGGCAGTGATATCATTAACTTTGAATGGAATTTTAAAAAACCACATATGGTAGACCACATTCGATTGTGTTATAATGCTGATTAGCTATGTTTTCCTAAAAGACCAGTGTATTGACCAGGCAGTGGTGGCACCTTTAATCCCAGAACTTGGGAGGCAGAGGCATACAGATCTATGTAAGTTCAAGGCCAGCCTGGTCTACAGAGTGAATGTGAGGATAGGTTCCAAAGCTAGACAGAGAAACACTGTCTCAAAAAAAAAAAATGAAAAAAAAGAAAAAAGGCCAGTGTATTAAAGGCTTATTCCCTAGCCAATGATGATTGTAAAAGGAAATTGGGTTGCAAGGATGCAAACCAGTTTGAGTGGTAGATGCATTCATAGGTTTGTAGTTGAATGAGTGAACGGGAGGTAGGGTCTGGTTGGAGGATTCAGTCACCTGGACATGTTTTTAAATGGTAGAACTTGTCTCATCCACTTTCTTTAACTCTGCTTTTCAATTGCCATAAGGAGGATATTAGGTTGTGTCCACCCAAGACCTATCCACAGAGATATCAGTATTAGACATGAGCCTGGACTTTCTTTAACTCTGCTTTTCAATTGCCATGAGGAGGATATTAGGTTGTGTTCACCCAAGACCTATCCACAGAGGTATCAGTATTAGACAGGAGCCTGGACTTTCTTTAACTCTGCTTTTCAATTGCCATGAGGAGGATATTAGGTTGTGTTCACCCAAGACCTATCCACAGAGGTATCAGTATTAGACATGAGCCTGGACTTTCTTTAACTCTGCTTTTCAATTGCCATGAGGAGGATATTAGGTTGTGTTCACCCAAGACCTATCCACAGAGGTATCAGTATTAGACATGAGCCTGGACTTACCCAAGGACTCTACCATGCAATTATCCTCTGATATTTCACCCTTGCTGCAAATTTAGAAGCAACAGTTAGTTCAAAAGAGCCAACCAATCGTGTACCAAATCATCAGAAATTAAAGGAACAATGCTAATAAATCTTTCTTATATTAAGTGGATTATTACTCAGAGATGTTGTCACCAGAGTGGAAACTTGCACAAATTGTCATAAAATTCAGAAGGTCTGATCCTGATTTTACTACTAGATCACTAACTAAACCTGTCTAGTCTCTGGCCTAAGCATTCTCTTCCAATTTGTAAAATATAGAAATTGGGGTTACATGTTTTTCTTGGAGAACATAAATTTAAAACAGAGTTGATTATGGTTTAGTGGCTTGGGCTTTTGATGTATCTATCTGTAGTAGCATGCCTGTAAGAGGCTAATTATTTGCCGACTTGTTTTCCATTAAATTGCAGTTTATGTTTATGTGATTTTTGGGTCTGAAAATAAATATAAATTGTGTTCCAAGAACTTATTGATATGGTTGACTAAAAACAGATTGTGAGAGTCTGTTATTAGAAATACAAAGTAAATTTTATCTCATGTGTAATGAGCATTATATTCAAGCTCAATGTAATCATCACATTTTTCATAAAAATTAATGTCTAAGTAATTACCAAAGAAACATAAACAGTGTTCATAAGGTACTTATTACAGTTACATGTGTAGCCAATATTAATTTTTTGCTTTTTTGCATTTAAGGGTAGTGAATAAACAATACAAAATTTCTGATTTATTATCAGTTACACGTTCTACTTTAGAAGATAAACATTTCTGATACATGATATTTCATGAACTGTCTTTAAATTTTTACTTACTTTTGGTGAAACTGTAAATGAGGCACATTTATTCCATGGTTTATGGTACCTCTTTATTTTAATAAGTGAATGCATGGGGTTTAAAAGTAAACAAGTTTGCTCTGTGGTTCATGTTGTCATCTTTGTCAAATAGAAATGGAAGAATCCAGTCCTGTTTGATTGACTTCCTGTGCTACTTTCAGAAATAAAAGCAAATGAGAGTTAAAATAATTCATCATCAAGTGAATTTGTTTTAAAACCATCCAAGCTTCTATACCACAAGCAGATAAATTGCCCACTATTCAAATGAGCATAGTTAGTTTTACATTATACTAAACAAACCAACTTCATAAATGACTGTTTTCCTTAGGGAAAAAAACAAAAAGGCATCCAGAATGTTATCGCTTGTTCCTTTTCCTCCAAGACATTAGAAGCCCAATAGGCAGACTTTTCTCACAGTAGAACGTCTATGAAATCTTTGTGAATATACTTTCCATTGTTTGATGATAAGGACATGTATATTCATGCTGTGTTTTCATATGGGTAATAACAATACAACACTGAGTAAAGTTAATAAAGCATTTATTTTATACTAGTGATAGGCTTCGTAGCTTTATGGAAAGATTTCAATAAATTATTTCCAAGCCCTCTTTTCTTCCTCCTATAGCCATCATTTTACAAAATTGTTTGCAATTATAGAACAATGGAGGAAATAAAGAAAATTATACAAAGAATAATAGAAAATGAACAAAAGTCTACAAACTGGCATTTTCCTTTTTAATAAAGTGGATAATTGCCAGATTTCCCATTACTTCTGAAATGTGCAGGACAGCATGTGGATCCATTTGTAATAAGAAAATGATTAATTCAGGCTCTGGAGAAAGAGTATAGTTAGTCATTTCAGCTACCTTAGCTACTTTCTTGCATCCATGTGTTGTCAACCAGCCTCTAAGACTACAATGCCTGATTTTCACACAGCAGCATTAATCTGTGGGTTAATTCTTTTTTTTTTTTTCTTTAAGGTATTCTTCTTCACAATAATCAATTATTTTGTTATGTACTTACAGATTATGTGCAAAACTTTACTCCATACAAACAATAGTATATAATGGTGTATAAATTTGAAGCATGAGTTCAAAATATTGTGCTTTCATAGCCAAATTGTTTCTTCCTATACATAGGATCACACCCTGGAATTCGATTAAGAACTCAATTAAATAATGTTTGAATTTTTAGATGAATGTTTAAGATGCATGCAGTATAGATTGAGTAACAAGAAATAACAGGGGAAAGACAAGGCAAATAAATACAGTTTCAAAATCCATTTGTGTCAAATTACTGGCTTGTTATTTTTAGGCAGACAAAAGTTTGACGAACACTCTTAATTTTAGTTAAGTAAGATTTATTAAAGTTAAAATTCAAAACTATAAGACATTTATTTTAAGAAGCAATACATATACACACCAAGCTTCACAAACCACTTGTAAGAGTCTTTCAATAATGTTTAGACACCCAAATCTTGCACCTGTAATTTGTAATTTAAAATGTTTGATTTTGTATTTATTAGGAACTTTTTGTCTGTTTTGTCAAAGAGTCTGTTTTTGAATGAAAAAGTTCCTTATACCTAATACATTAAATGTTTCGGTATGAACTAGGTTCCTTATACATGCAACATAATACATATAGTAATATTCCGTTTTTCAGTGTACATTCTAAGTAATACATTCACAAGACCATTATACTACTTTAAGTATTTAAGGTGGGAAAAAAAACTTTGACATATTTTTTCTTAAAGCAAAAGTATTAAAAGTATAATGTATGGTCTAATAAATATGTTTTATGTAGTTGAAGTTGTGTATAATTAAAAGCATGCATTTACTAAGGAGAATGGCATCTCACATGGCTGGCATTACTTCTCTGTTGGTAGTCATTAGCATCAAGTATGAACAGGATGAGAAAGAAAACTGAGTTCAGTTTAAAGGTGACTGCATACAAGAGAGAGATCTGCCTCCAAACACATCCAGGGCAGTTATCATCATAAAACTGCCCAATTTAATCTTGTCCTCAACTTTGGTTGTTGACACAGATATTAATTTTCCATTGAGGCCAAGACCTTTGAAACCTTGGGGAGAACAATAAGTCTATTCTATTTAGTTTTATTTGGTATCTTTGCTTTGATAAAATTGTATAGTTTTGATGCAATTTATGATTATTTTAAAGTTAGTCTTAAATATATGAAGGGAAGACCTTAACAGTTAACAATAATACATTTGTATTGGCTCATTAACCAAAATTATTCTAAAATTACATAAAATTAAGAATAATTATAAAATAGAAGGCATTTCAAGTTAGCAATTAATACAAAAATTTTAAATGAAAAGAAATGTTAGGTGATTTTTTTTTTTAGTTTTAAAAAAAATACCCTACTGTTGTATATACTACTGCTTCAGTAAATTTTCCTAAGTAACTTCATTACAACATTTATTTTCAAGTATAAAATTATACAGAGTCCAGATCTATCTTTAGCATGAGTCACTGTTTAACACAATGTAGCCATTAAATTAATAGTACTTCTTTCCAATTTTTCCATTTCTGAAGTTCCACACAAATTATTTTGTATAAAATTCTTCACATTGCTTATTTATTAATAGTATCCTAATACAATGATCTTTGAACATGTTGCAAAGAACAGTTCAGTCTCGCACATGTTCAAGGTTCGGATGAGATGTTCATTTGCATGTGCAGCACCAATGAATATATAGATCTCTTCTACTCAGTATTTCTTGATTACTATATTCTTATAATTTGTGTCTTGGGTGCTTGAGTGCATGATTGCACATCTATTAGTATATGGGCAGCACAAAGTATAGTGGCAAGATCTACACAAAAGAAAAGAAGGGATGAAGAAAGGGAGGAGGGAGAGAGGGAGGAAGAGAAAAGGAAGGAAGGAATGGAGGGAGGGAGGTAGCATTGAGGGAGGGAGGGAGGGAGACACAATGTTGAGATGGGAGCATGGGGGTAGTCCTGAGAAGAGTTAGGGAAGGAATAAAGGGTGAAAATGTTCAAACTTCACTACATTCATGCATACAATTCTCATAGAATTACCCAAAAATATTATTTTAAAATACATATGGTTTAAAGTTACAGTTATTTCATTAGTTTTCTCTTCATTTACTTCTCAGTGCTAACTTGTAGCACCACATGCTAAAAACGAAAAACCACAAAACCCTGCCTTTTTAAAGTAATTCTTTCTCTTTTCAGTTTCTACAGATAAAGTGATCTGAAGTTGTATACAATATTATAAGAGAAGAAAAGGAAACTGTGACATGCGGAGAATGTGAAAGGTGGTTTCATTTTGAATAGCAGCACTCTCCAATTCAATTTATACAAAAGACCCAGTCATAGGGACAGTATTGTTCACTTCTAGACATACCATTCTTCTGTGTTACAAGCTGTATAATTGTTGTTTTATTGTTTACATTGTAAATGTGTTTTCCCTCTGGCTAGTTATGTTTTTTAAGTCTTAAAGTGTGAAGGACATTAATGAATGGTGAGAGAGAGACACTGTATACAAATGTATATTTGTAAAAGCTATTTTTATGATTAGCATGTGTCATTGTTGGTCACATAGTCTCATGGTATTGCAACCCTACATTTAAAGCTTGTTTCCCATGATGTCATATGCAGAATTTACATTGTATGCTAGTTTTTAAAATTTATTTTCAATTTATACTTTAAAGTACCTTAATCCATGAGGAAAATTATTTGCAAAAGCTGTATTTATGCCCTCTATAAGCACCATTTTATTGACAAAAGAACGCAGTTATTTGAGAAATGATGCAACTGTTAAGGACTTTGGTTTGACACGTGAGCATGCTTGGCACTAGTGAGCTGAAATGATCCAATCATCACCTATTACTTGATACTGACTATGAGATTCTTTAGACAGTTTTCAGCACTTGAACTGATGAGAAATAGGTTAATAAGAAAAAGATTGTCTTGTCCTGGGATCCAAAAGTTTCCGTTAGTGAACACACCCCTCCATTTCATCTCCTAGTCCTCAGAATTCTCCATTCCCAAGCATAGTATTTTCCAAATACTCTTGGCTATTGTCTTGTGCAGTGGAAATGGGAGAGACGATCCCCACAGGCTGTAGACACATTCAGCACATAATTTCTTAATAAATACTGGTTCTTTTAAAACAAATTTGGTGTGTGTTTTTTCTTTGGATGACACTTGTTTCAATAGTCAATGTGAGCAGTTTGCATTTCTATTAATAGAATAAAACAAGTTCAATGATAAAAGTAGTACAACTAAACTTAAATACACTTAGTGTCTGTTTGGCATACTCCTCACGCCATGCTTGTGTTTGAGAATACATTAACTTGATGTAGAAAAGCAACTTAGGAGGCCTTCCATGCTTAATAAGAGTCAGCATCCAAATTACATTTTAAGAATATGTGTTGATCTTCCAAGTATTTTTTTTTTTTTTTTTTTTTTTTTTTTTTTTTTTTGAAAAAGAGTTTCTTTGTGTAGGTTTGGAGCCTACCCTGGCACTCACTCTGTAGACTAGGCTGGCCTCAAACTCACAGAGATCCACCTGCTTCTGCCTCCAAAGTGTTGGGATTAAAGGTGTATACCACCACTGCCCAGCTTCTTGCAAGTACTTAATGATAAAAATCTATTTCAGGATATGAAGCAATCCACCTCATCAGGAGGATCTTGGTTTTCCATCAGTCATGAGTTCGAAGGTAGATAATTTCATGGTCTTCATTAAAGAGCCCATGACAACATCCCTCCAAATTAGTTTTCTGCCAAAATTGCTTCTTCTTTAAGCACAGAAACTGGGGAGAAGCAGAATCACCCCAATATGTTTTCCCTAATTTCCCTTCTTATGTCTTAAGGATAGTTTATTTCATAGTGAATCTGTGTGTTATAAATATAAATCAAATGAAAAATAATACACTCACATCAAACAAAGGACATTTCCAATAAAAATTAAGGAAGGAAAACTATGAGTAGAATTTATTAAGAAAACAAATATACTACTTTAGTTTCTTGCTGGCTGTATTGTGTTTGTGCATACCTGTATTGTTATTGTTATTTGTTTCTTTGCGTAGTACAGTGTTGACATTCCAGCCTAATAGCTCATGAATAATAGATACCTCTCCCTTCTTTAGAGAAGCCCCAATGTCCCTTCTTGTCCCCATCTGCTCCCATCTCCGCTCCAGGCACTCTCCTCACACTTTCTGTTTTCTTATTTGCCATCACAATGTCCACTGAAGTACCACAGGAACACAGTGATTGACAGATGGCCTGACACTCTGAGCCAACCAACACTTTTGTCGGGTAACAGCCCCTCTTCTGAGACACCCCCCATACACATATAGAGATATCATTGCTCTCCCCTTTTAGGAAATATGAGGTGGCTATGGGGGTATGAGACAATATGAGATTGATCACAGCTTGATTCGTATGTGATAAATGATTTTATGTATACTGATTTATTTCCAAGCAGACATATTTAGAGAGAATAAATGGATGCTCCGTTGTCTACACTGTGTGTCAGAAAATTGCATATATGAGCATTTCCCCAATATGTCATCTATCTGCTCTTGTAATAGTCAATGAAGAATATTGAAACCGTCATGGTGAGGTCAACTGGGATTTCAGGAATAGAATTATTTCTCTGATTATTTAAAGAATAAAAAGGCAAGAAGAACAAGGTCTCAGCACTGAGCCAAACTTTACTGAAAGCAGAAGAGCTTATAAAGCAAATTATTCAAGTCTTCCCAGGAGGGAAGGGGATAGTAACTGGAAAATCTTGTTTTTTTCTAACAGAACAAAAATGTTTATAGTTTGGGGCTGGATGGGTATCCATTTTACTATGAGAACTGGTTGGCTGGGGCTATCACTGGACACTCAATGACCCATACAAAGACAGGAAAGTTATTCTGTTTCCACCACAAGGTATTCCCTTATGTATCTAATGGGAGATTAACAGTTCCTTCTGAAATTTGAAAAAAAAAAAGAGTTTTATCTTGCTCAAGAAGAAAGAGCAATAAATCTGCCATCTTAAAACTGTTAAATGAAATGTACATCAATCTACCTAAAGACTCTTTCATTATTACCCTCTTGGGAGATAATAGTCCAAAGTATGATGTTTGAAATGTAGGATTATTATAAATTATTAAAAATGTGATAAATTCCCTATTAACAAATATTCTTAAAAGTGTAAGCATTTAAAATACATAAGAGGAATTGTTTTACTAGATGTATGACCTCTCCCATAGAGCAGTGAGACACCTTCAGCCTTCCCCTTTAGTCCTCACCTCTATTTGAATGAAGATTTTAATGTTGATGACAGACTTACAAGCTGTCTTAGTGTTTTATTGCAGTGAAGAGACACAATGACCCTAGAAACTCTTCTAAAGGAAAACTTTAATTGGGGTGGCTTACACTTTGAGAGGCATGTTAGGGTACAACATGGTGGCATGCAGGCAGACATGGTGCTGTACAGGCCATCATGACCCTGGAGAAGTAGCCAAGGGTCCTACATCTTGGCTTGCATGCAAGTGGTTTGTGTCACTGGGCAGTATTTTGAGCACATATGATTATATGTCCTTTTTGTATTAATTGCTAACTTGAAATGCCTTTCTATTTTGTAATTATCCTTAATTGTATGTAATTTTAGAATAATTTTGGTTAATGAGCCCATACAAATGCATTATTGGTAACTGTTAAGGTCTTCCAAAAAGGCCCTTTAAAATAATCATAAATTGTATCAACTATACAATTTTGTCAAAGCAAGGAAACCAAATAAAACTAAATAGAATAGACTTATTATTCTCCCCGAGACTTCAAAGGTCTTGACCTTAGATGGAAATTAGTATCTGTGTCAACAACCAAAGATGAGAACAAGACATTTGTGGAGCCTGTCTCCATGGTGACGCACTTCCTCCAACAAGGCCACACCTCCTAATAGTGCCACTACTTTTGGGGGCCCTTTTCTTTCAAACTACCACATTCCACTCCATGGCTTCCAAAGACTTGTAGCCATATCATAATGCAGAAATACATTCAGTCCAACTTCAAAAGTCTCTATAGTCTCATATAACAATCTCAAACTTTTTTTTACTATTATTTTTTTTTCTTATTTTTCATATTGATGGCAGTCTAAGGCACCTCTGACAGTGGAACCAGGATGTATCCCTGGTGCACAAAAGGACTTTGGGAGCTCATTCCCCATGGAGGGATACTCTCTTAGCCTAGCGGCAGGAGGGAGGGCCTAGTCCCTACCTCAAATGACTTGGTAGATTTTGTTGATCCCTCCTGGAAGGCATCAAACTCTTTTAAAAATCTAACGTTCAATGTTTCTTCTGAGATTCCCTTATCCCTTAACTATAATCCCCTATAAAATCAAAATTTAAAAATCAGATCACATAGTTACAACATATAATTGCTCATGACATAGATTAACATTCTCAAACATAGGGGAAGGAACATAGCAAGGAAATACTGGACCAAAGCGAGACTGAAAATCATCTGGGGAAACTCCAAACTCTGTATACATGTGCCTGATAAAACACTCTTCAGATCTCCGACTATTTTCATTTCTTTTGACTGCAACATACTTTTTCTCTTGGGCTGATTCCACTCCATTTCTCAGCAGGTGTCCCACAGCTCTGGCATCGCCAAAATCTTGGGTCCTCCAAGACAATGCAAGATTCAACTTCACAGTTTCTCACAATGGCCTCTCTAGGCCTCCATCTGGGGACATTCCTGACACAAACCTGGCCTCAGCGGCTTTCCTTAGACACTAAGGCAAATTCCATGGCTCCTTTTTTTTTTTTTTTTTTTTTTTTTTTTTTTTTTCTATCTCTAACTTTAGAACCCCAGGTGACTGATGCTGCTATGTTCTGGGGCTTGCTAGCGTTGGAACATGCCTCCCTTGTTCAATTACATCACCAGCTTTCTTTTTTCCTTTATTGCCTAAGATTAGATGTCCTTGCTTTGTAGACAGTTAAAGTCCTGGAGAAGTCCCACATATGTGTCAACAACAAGAACATGCTGGGGCATAGCATCTCATACAAAGACAAGATGGCAAAGACCCAAAGAAGGAGGTGGAGACTTTGAGAGAAGACTGAGCAGCCTGCTCAGTCTCAGTGATCCACCATCTGCCTTCCTGGTACTAGGAGTATGGGGTTAAAGGTGTTCACCACCACTCAGGTCTAAGCTTTTCTTTAACATAGCTGGGTGGCATCTTGACCTGAGATCTCTACTCCCTTTATTCTACTTCTTTATCTGTCTCCTTGAATACAGGACTTAGCTTCATTCTGCTTTCTGGTGCTCCTTGTCTCCTTAAATATTTTCCCTTTCTCAACTTTCTCCTTTTCATTATATATCTTCATCAGAGTTAACACTAGTAACCTGTCTCAGAGAGTAGGGAGTCATAAAGTGGTCCAGAAGATCCACACTACATGCATGTGCCTTAGTTCTAACACTTGCTACATGTACATCAATAAAAGTATAAACAACTCATCTCTATTCATGAATGCAAGCTTATTGTTCACTGGTCACTATGGGAAGGTAAGTACTAGGTCTGCATCAAAGTAGTTGTGAATCCAAAATGTCCCATAAAATAATTAAAAAGAGAAATGACACAGGAGATATACCAATAACAAACACTTTGTAATGGTTTAACATGTTTGTGTCCATAAGAACCT